CAACGTCAGAAAAATACAAAGTTGTGAAGGTGTTGATTTGTCGGAAAAGTATATTAGAAAACATGAAGTGAATATATAATAGTGACTTTCAAAGAAGATTTGGAAGAATTAATAAGGAAGCCAAATTCAAGCTATACACCTGATGATAAATAATGAGGCTGTTAGAATATTGCACACCTTATAGTGCATTCCTATAAAATATATGCATGAAATTTAATTGGTAAGTCAATGGCTGAAGCATATATGCTTAGACATCACAAATTTTTTTGTTAAATCATTAAAAGGGAATTCCACCCTCATCTAAAGCTGGTTTTGCGGAAGCAGAAAAATGACAGAATCATCTCAGTGAAAGTTTGAGCAAAAAACGATCGAAAATAAGAAAGTTATGAATTTTTTAACGTGCAATCAAACATACACAAATTGGTAACTCTGTGACGTTTCTTTCAAGCTCCCCTCCCATTTACCCTGAACTAAAAAAAATTAAAAATATATATACTTTCCCTCAAAAAAATTATCAATCTTACATTCACACTAAATGTAATTATTAACTATAGATGGAACTTTGACTGCAGGCAGTCGAAAATGACGCCTCTGTCATAGAGCAATTTACAAACCAAAACAGAAGCAATTTTTCAAATTCAAGTTCAATTGTAATCCATTAAAAGGTTCTCAGAATATTGTGATTTAATACCAGCCATTTCTCATATACATATATGACCCTATGATCTTTGACCAAATGACCCTAAAATCTAATCAGTTCATTGGCTTTGCAAGATATTCATGCCCTAAGTTTGATTGCAATCCATCCGTCAGTTCTAATGAGAATGCGTTGACAAGCCATTTTTGCATGCATAATGAGCCTCATGACATTTGACCTTCGACCTCATGACCCCAGAATGTACGCAGTTCATTACATACATGTCTTGAGTTTGATGGTAATCCATCCATTGGTTCTAATGATAATGCAATCACAAGCTTTTTTTGCATACATAATGAGCCTAGCTGTAACCTTTGACCTCGTAACCCAAAATCTAATTGATTCATTGGTTCTGCAAGATACATGCATGACCTAAGTAGGCAGGATACATAGATCAGTTCTTGAGATATGCATCACAAGCTATTTTTTCATACATAATGAGCCTTGTGACCGACCTCGTGACCTTAAAACTAATCAATTCATCAGCTCTGCAAATACATACATGACCTAAGTAGGGCAGGATACATAGATCAGTTCTTGAGATAATGCAATCACAAGCTATTTTTGCAAACATAACGATCCCTGTGACCTTTGACCTTTGAGCTCGTGACCCCAAAATCTAATAAGTTCATTAGCTCTGCAAGATACAAGAATTGGCAGGAATCCATCAACCTGTTCTTGAGAAAACGTGATTACGAGGACAGGACGTACAGACGTACGGGCAACCAAAAACATGATGCCTTAGGATATTTCATAACTGAGGCATAAAAAAACACATACCGGTATGAAGAATCAGATGTGGTTTGAGATATGAATATTAATAACGTTATGGTACAAAAAAGTTACACCATTTTTCTATTCTCTGTGTGAAAGAAATATATTAAAAAACAGATAAACAAAAACAGTTAGAACTAGATGGAACTTTGACTGCACGTAGTTGAAAATGATGCCTCCGCCATAGAGCGATTTCACAAACCAAAACAGAAGCAATTTTTCAAATTCAAGTTTAATTGTAATCAAATAACAGGTCCTCAGAATATGGTGATTGCAAGCTATTTTCATATATATATGTATGACCCTTTGAACTTTGATCTCATGACCCTAACATCTAATCAGTTCATTGGCTCTGCAAGATACCCATCCGTCAGTATTGACAATGCATTCACAAGATAGTTTTGCATTAATAATGAGCCCCATGACCTTTGACCTCAGGACCCCAAAATCTAATCAGTTCATTGCTCTGCAAGATACATATATGAACTAAGTTTGGCGGTAATCCATCAATCGGTTCTTGAGATAACGCGATAACAAGCTATTTTTTCATACATAATGAGCCCTGTGACTTTGACCTCGTGACCCAAAATCAAATCAATTCATCAGCTCTGCAAGATACATACATGACCCAAGTTTGGCGGTAATACATCATTGGTTCTTGAGATAACGCGATCAAAGCTATTTTTTCATACATAATGAGCCTTGTGACCGACCTCGTGACCTTAAAACTAATCAATTCATCAGCTCTGCAAGTTACATACATGACCCGAATTTGGTGGTAATCCATTGCTTCTTGAGATAATGTGATCACTAGAACGGGACGTGAGGACGGACGGACGGAAACCAGAAATGAAAATGGAAACTGGATCTGACTTCACAAGAACAAATTCCTGTACCACTGCACCACCGCTTGAAATTACAATACAGTGGCAAAATCGTTTCACAATGCCACTTCTGACAACTTTAGATTCCAGATTACGAGAATTTCAGTTCAAATTCCTCCATCAAAGAATTTCTCCAAATTAATATTTGCACTGTATTAGTATAAAAAGTACACCGATGTGCAATTTTGGTCAAACAAATATATGCAAACGTTCATTCATTTGTTCTTTACGTGTCCTGTTGTAAAAACATTCTGGAAAGATATCAGTAATTTGCTCCGTGAATTCAAATTATTTAGTTTTCCATTCTCAGTCACAGATATATGTTTTGGAGTTGAGAATAGTAACAAAATAATTAACACTTTTGCTTTTGTTATGCATGGTCAACTCTTTATTTTTCGAAATAAATGCCCAAAAAATAACTTAAAATTTATACAGTTCAAGATTTTTTCTCCAAAATATTTATTGAAAACAAATCTCATTCATATTAACAGTAGTACATGATAATAATAATAGTAATAATAACATGTTCGTATAGACATAGAATATGTATAATAAAAATATAGTGTAATAGTTAACTCATCAGCAATAACAAAAAAATAAAAAAAAAGTTAACAAAATATCTGCCATTTCTTATTATGAAGATCGAGACAATTTTTCTTGAAAGCAATTATACGTTTCATATTTTCTAAAGGTTTGAGAGCTCGTTGAAAAGAAGGAAATAGTGGAATAAGGTTTGCATTTTACAAGTGAGTATAAAATATTTTGCAAAAAAAATAACTGTATTGACGAATTAAAAATTATTGATTATATTCTTAACATATATCATATCAGAATTAAAACGTATATTAATATTGAGAGGTTTTCTGCCTACCAGTATATGAGAATTCAGGCAAAAGGGTTGGGAAATAATTTCTTTGAATTTAACTGGGTTGTAGTACTTGTAGTGACTCCAAGCAATCAATATATCATTCCAGAAAGGATCTGTGTATTTATTGAACATTAAATGATCAGAGCAGAGATTGCTGCTGAAAAAAATATCACCTCCCATACGTCTCAGAGAATGTGCAAAAAACATTTTCCATTTACTTTTGTTGTCTTCATCTAAGTATCTCTTTATCCAAGTAACTTCATTGCACGGTTAAAAGATAATAAATGAGGCATTTTAAGGCCTCCTCCTTTATATTCATTGTAAAGCAAAGAGCGTCTAATTTTGTCCTTCTTATTACTCCATACAAATTTAAAGAGTACTCTCTGAAGTTCTGAAAAGAATGATAAAGGGGGATCAGGAAGAATACAAAGTAAATAAATCAATTTTGGTATAACTAAAGATTTAATAATGGTCACAGTTCAAGTTGGAAATTATTTATTTAGAAAAAGTGGAAAGAGTTATTACCACAAGACAAGGACAAATGCTGAACATACATTGAAATGGCAAAACAAGTATGTAAAATTGTTATCAATGTTATCTTCAATTTATTCTTTATGTTATAGTTTATAATGTACCACTCATTATTATGTAAATTTCCTTCACAAACTGCTTTTTTATTTATTCAGATTTGGAGCAATAAACTTAGGATTATATTATTTTTAAAGACCACTTATACAACAAAATCCCTTTATTATGTTTAATACATTTATGTGGCATTTTTACTCTGTGTGTTATCAGGCAATTATCAAGATCATGCACTGTATAAACAATAAAATCCATTTCAGAACATAGTCAACATTTTAATGGCTTTTCTCCAGTTTGTATTTTCAGATAACTAGAAAGATTAGTGTTAAAAGAAAATCTCTTTATACAATCTTAACATTTATAGGATGTGTTTTTAAATGCCTTGTGAGCTAACTTATATAATAAAATTCCTTATTTTTTAGGAACACTCTCTTCTGTAGTAACATCCCTTTTATAAGGTTTTTTCCTAGTGTGTGTCCTCACATGACAGGTAAGATGACCTCGTTCGGAAAAACCTGTACACACATTAAGAACATTAAAGGGTTTCCTGCCTGTTATCTAAGCTAGCTAATAACATTTGATAAGAAAATCTCATATTACAATCGAGACATTTTTTTTTCTAGTACATGTGTGTTCTTAAATGGCCTATACGGGTACTACTTTGAAAAAAACCTTTATCACAATGGGAACATTTGAAAGGTTTTTCTCCATCGTGTGTTCTTAAATGTCTAGTAAAGTGACATCTCTGAGAAAAACTCTTATCACAATGGAAACATTGTAGAGGCTTTTCAGTGAGGCTTTGTGATCTTAAATGTTGATTAAGGGAAGTTTTATGGGAAAAACCCTTATCACACTGGGAACATTTGAAGGGTTTCTCTCCTGTATGTCTTCTAAGGTGGCGAGTAAGATTAATCAGTTGAGCAAATGTCTTATCACAATAGGAACATTGATAAGGCTTTTCTCCACTGTGTGTTCTAAAATGTCTACGAAGGGTACTTTTATGGGAAAATCCCTTATCACACTGGGAACAATTGAAAGGTTTCTCTCCACTGTGTGTTCTTAAATGGCTATTAAGGGTTCTTCTATGAGAAAAACCCTTATCCTTATCACACTGGGAATACTTGAAGGCTTTCTCTCCAGTATGTGTTCCAAGGTGGCTAGTAAGCTCATAGTCGACCTGGTGCGTTTTCCGATGTAGTATAAGAGTGTTCTCATCTGTAAATGTCTTACTGCAATGTAAACACAGATGGGTCTCCTCTCCACTGCATGCTGTTATATGTGGGTGTATATTGTCTTGTCCATTGTCCAACTCTAGGGAGGAAAAGAAAGTAATTACATCCCTATTGAAGAGAACGTCAAGTTCTGGTATTGAAGTGTCAAAATCAAAATTAAAATCACTGTAGAGTAAAGAAATATCACCAGGCGTATCCAGTCTGCCTAGATGCAGAGTATCATGTAATGCTTAAAACCTTCAATACAGTCAACTTCGCATACATCAAATTTGACAGGAAACATTGAAATCTCAATATGTGAGTAAGCCAAAGAAAATTTGACTTTTGCCAAAGTTGACTTTGACGGGACCAAGCAAAATGCATCTTATTAGATGATTTTTTATTTCTATGTAAATCAAAATGAATTAAACCACATCTGGTCCCAAAGAGAACTCAGGAACTTGCCAGCAGTTTTGTTGATATTATAGATTTTATCCAAACTCGGTTTAAACTGTTGTGCAGACATCCAGAAAATAAGAACGTTACCGGTTTTTTTTTTCATATACACGGTATATGACTGCAGACTCCTGTTAAAACTTGGACAATAAAATTACTTTCTACAAGAATATATTGCGAATGAGGAAGAGAACTGCGAAATCTGTTTAACATAATGAATATGGAATGGTAACACTATGAATCAATGATATTGAATTTAGCTACCATTATTGTGCCAACTGTTGATAGATTGTTGGATCTTCCCATACTTCAACTTCATACATGCATTGATACTAATACTGGTGTGATAATCGTGATTGCGGTGACGTGGTAATTAATTTTAATTGACCCTAGGGCTAATATAAGCTAGCTAGTAGTGCTACAATGCCTCCCAAACAAACAGCAATAGCATAATCTATCAAGGAGCTCCTAGACAGTGAGGACTCCAAGGAGGCACTCTCAAACAATTGTAGTAGCAAATTAGATGAAATCTCAAATAAACTTGATGAAATTCACTGCAAACTTGATCATCATGATCAACACTTCATAACTATTGAAAGTCTCAGAAAGTCAGATATTAAAATAATTGAAGTTTATGATGAACTCGCAACAAAATGTCAGTACCTTCACACTTTATCAGAGAAGGCAAAATCAACATTGATGGATGTTGAGATGAAAGTGAATGAGAGGGAGACAGCCATCAAACATCTTCCAAGTCAGCTGATACGAGCCTCAACAAAATTGCAAACCTGAAACGGCAAGTTAACAGATAAGCGTTCTTGAAACAACTGCAAAAGAATCTTCGGTCTCATAGAGAAGCGTGGAGAAAACACCAAATAGAATACTCTCGTTTGTGAAGAAGGTAATTGATAACCAGCCATACCTAGTATGATTATCTGCAATGTGCGATCCCTTGCTAACAAGATAGATGAACTAGAAATCCTTACAAAATATATGCATGAATACAGAGAAACCTGTCTCATGAGATTTAGTGAAACTGGGCTAAATGGCTCAATACCAGACAGTGCTCTACATATTCCATATTTTGAATTGGTCAGAGGAGACAGAACGAGGGAGTCCGGAAAGACGAGGGGAGGAGGTATATGCCTATACATAAGCTCAAAATGGTGTCAAAATTGGACAGTGAAAGATGTGACTTGTAAACCAGACATAGAGCTAATCTCATTGGGACTAAGACCGTTTTATCTCCCCCAAGAGTTTTCCAAATATTTGTAACAGTTTGCTACGTACATCCTCGGGCAGACTTAACCACTGCCAGTGAAATTCTAACTGAGAACACGCAATGTTTAGAGGCAGCTGCCCCTGACGCCCCAATCTTCATCTTGGGCGACTTTAACCAGTTGCGGCTAGAAAACTCCCTATCAGATTATGAACAATACATTAAAATTCCTACAAGAGGGGATGCCACCCTAGACCTGTGTTACGGAAATATTTTAAACGCATATAGGAGTCCAGGGCGTGTCATCAACTAGGCCGATCAGACCATCGGAACATGCATACAGCTGATACCGGCATATAAACAGAAACTGAAACGGAGCAAGCCGGTCACTAGGCAACGATACGCTTGGACCACAGAAACCAATGAGGCATTACGTATATTATATTTAATTAATAATTCCCAAATTGATTTAAGACGCAAACACATGTATGGATACCCAACCTCCTCAGTATATTTATATTTATCTCACTTGTTAATTCGTTAATTCGTTTGATCACCTGACACCTCGATCATCTTGCTCTGCTTCAATTACTATGTTAAATATTGTTCTGAATTAGTGTTTTTAAAAAAAACATCCGATCCTCTGATAATTTGTGCCTAATCATATGTTAAACTTTGTTTATTTACTGTTAATCTCTACATTTTTGTAAATTCATTAGTAAATGTTAATCTGTATATGTTACACCAGTGAAAATCAAATATCCAGAAAAGGACAATAAATACTAAATTGAATTGAACTGAGTTCATGTTGATCTTCGGGAGCAAGATTTAGACCGTAGCCATCGAGTTGGCGACCCTTCTTCAGCAGCACGTAAAGGTGACCATCCAATTATAGTTAAGCTTAAATCATATTGCACGAGACCTACCGGTAACTGAAAAAACACGGAATTGATTCAAGAAGCATACAGACTCTCAAAAAAAGGCAGAGTTTACGGCGCATGGTCTTCCGATGGAATAATATTTGTATCGGTCCAAACAAAACTCGCATCAAAACCTTGATTTGTACTAAAACAATGTCACTTAATTATCTTACTTGCAATCTAAGGGTAATGTGCAACATCATGACATATCTCTTAGAGGACATTTCACTTTTATTTTTAAGGAATAAAGAGACTTTTTCCTTGTTATATTTCGTTCTTAAAAGAAATTTTCTGACATGTCCTTGAAATTATATTTCCTGTATGTCTATACTTAATGAATGGATAAGACCTGGTCATTTTGGAAATTTTGAAGAAAGTATTGCATACTCAATCACCTTTATCAGTGGATGACAACTTTGATGGAGTGTGTGAAACAGATAAATATTATATTAATCCCCTGACAATTTTATTAATATGATCGTTAATATTATAAATTCTAAAAATATTTCACTTGTTCAGATGAATTGCTTGAAAAACAACTATGAACCTTTATCTGTGTACCTTCAGTAATTGAAAGTTGAAAATTGATGTTATTGCTTTAAGTGAAACATGGTTAACACTACAGATTACCTGAATTCCTTGGAAACATTTCATAAATACACATTCTAAGGCAAAAACAGAGAGAATCATGGTGGTGGAGTTGGTGCTTCCATTGATATTTTTTTGTGTTGATTTAATGTCTTTAATTATAATATAAAGTATTGAAATATTACAAAAGGGTAAAAACTTCAATATTGCTGTTGTGTATTCAAACCACAAAAACAGAGTGATAAATTTTTTATCTCAGGACCCCGTCTTAAAAGAGTTATGATTGATCAGAAATCAATCGCAAGTTTGCAGTCTTCTATCTCTCATGTACATATTCAGAGTAGCGATCGATATCATTCGCAAATAAGTTGCGATCAATATCAACTCTTTATAAGACGGGGCCTAGGGCTGACCTAACAGCAGTACCATCCAAATTGTGCAATGAAAACAACCAAACTATGTACCGGTACTGAATTTACTAGAAAATACAAATTGCAATGCACATTTATTTTCAGAAACAATGAATGCACATTCTTTTTTCCTATCATTTTGAAACCCATTGAAGAGTGCAGTCCTGTGCTACGTTGATTGATTGCAGGTACATATGATTACTTACCGTACCTATTTTTTGTTATTACTAAGGCAGATACGAAACGACCTCGTGACCCCAAAATCTAATCAATTCATCAGCTCTGCAAGATACATACATGACCCAAGTTTGGCCGTAATACATCAATCGGTTCTTGAGATAACGCGATCACAAGCTATTTTTTCATACATAATGAGCCTTGCGACCTTTGACCTCGTGACCCTAAATTCTAATCAATTCATTAGCTCTACAAGTTACATACATGACCCGAATTTGGTGGTAATCCATTGCTTCTTGAGATAATGTGATCACTAGAACGGGACGTGAGGACGGACGGACGGAAACCAGAAATGAAAATGGAAACTGGATCTGACTTCACAAGAACAAATTCCTGTACCACTGCACCACCGCTTGAAATTACAATACAGTGGCAAAATCGTTTCACAATGCCACTTCTGACAACTTTAGATTCCAGATTACGAGAATTTCAGTTCAAATTCCTCCATCAAAGAATTTCTCCAAATTATTATTTGCACTGTATTGGTATAAAAAGTACACCGATGTGGTCAAACAAATATATATGCAAACGTTCATTCATTTGTTCTTTACGTGTCCTGTTGTAAAAACATTCTGGAAAGATATCAGTAATTTGCTCCGTGAATTCAAATTATTTAGTTTTCCATTCTCAGTCACAGATATATGTTTTGGAGTTGAGAAGAGTAACAAAATAATTAACACTTTTGCTTTTGTTATGCATGGTCAACTCTTTATTTTTCGAAATAAATGCCCCCAAAATAACTTAAAATTTATACAGTTCAAGTTTTTTTTCTCCAAAATATTTAATGAAAACAAATCTCATTCATATTAACAGTAGTACATGATAATAATAATAGTAATAATAACATGTTCGTATAGACATAGAATATGTATAATAAGAATATAGTGTAATAGTTAACTCATCAGCAATATAAAAAAAAAGTTAACAAAATATCTGCCTTTTCTTATTATGAACTATTTACCTTGAACAATTACACATCTCTTCTTTTTTCTTTTTAATTAGAATTTCTTTGAATGAGACACCGTTGGATCAATTGAATAATGACGATTTATGTTAATTGTGTTCTGGTTATTTTAAGCTTTAAGTTTTTTCTGCATACAAATCTTAAAGCACTCTATTCATTGCAGCTTCATATCCTCTTAATGCATTTATCGAAATTTAATTTAATCATGATTTTCTGAATGATTGTTTGTAATTATTTTGTATACTTATATAATGTGAACCTTGCAATATATTCTATTATGTCTCGGAATGGCATGTGAGGGTGCACATGCCCCCGGGCAACAGGGAAGAATTTCGCTTTTGTGCACCCTGACCCACATGCTATTCCTTCTTTATCTTACTTTGTATTTTTCCTATTTCACTCTGTATATACACCTATATACACTGTACATGCTGAATGTGTTTTTATGGTCGAATAAATAATAATAATAATAATAATAATGAAGATCGAGACAATTTTTCTTGAAAGCAATTATATGTTTCATATTTTCTAAAGGTTTGAGAGCTCGTTGAAAAGAAGGAAATAGTGGAATAAGGTTTTGCATTTTACAAGTGAATATAAAATATTTTGCAAAAAAGAAATAACTGTATTGACGAATTAAACATTATTGATTATATTCTTAACATATATCATATCAGAATTAAAACGTATATTAATATTGAGAGGTTTTCTGCCTACCAGTATATGAGAATTCAGGCAAAAGGGTTGGGAAATAATTTCTTTGAATTTAACTGGGTTGTAGTACTTATAGTGACTCCATGCAATCAATATATCATTCCAGAAAGGATCTGTGTATTTATTGAACATTAAATGATCAGAGCAGAGATTGCTGCTGAATAAAATATCAACTCCCATACGTCTCAGAGAATGTGCAAAAAACATTTTCCATTTACTTTTGTTGTCTTCATCTAAGTATCTCTTTATCCAAGTAACTTCATTGCACGGTTAAAAGATAATAAATGAGGCATTTTAAGGCCTCCTCCTTTATATTCATTGTAAAGTAAAGAGCGTCTAATTTTGTCCTTCTTATTACTCCATACAAATTTAAAGAGTACTCTCTGAAGTTCTGAAAAGAATGATAAAGGAGGATCAGGAAGAATACACAGTAAATAAATCAATTTTGGTACAACTAGAGATTTAATAATGGTCACAGTTCAAGTTGGAAATTATTTATTTAGAAAAAGTGGAAAGAGTTATTACCACAAGACAAGGACAAATGCTGAACATACATTGAAATGGCAAAACAAGTATGTAAAAATTGTTATCAATGTTATCTTCAATGTATTCTGTAAGCTATATTTCATAATGTACCACTCATTATTATGTAAATGTCCTTCACAAACTGCTTTTTTATGCATTCAGATTTGAAGCAATATATAAACCTAGGATTATATTATTATAAAGACCACTTATACAACAAAATCCCTTTATTACTTTTAAGACATTTATGTGACATTTCTACTCTGTGTGTTACCAGGCAATTATCAAGATCATGCACTGTATAAACGATAAAATCCCTTTCAGAACAAAGTCAACATTTCAATGGCTTTTCTCCAGTATGTATTTTCAGATAACTAGTAAGATTACTGTTAAAAGAAAATCTCTTAAAACAATCTTAACATTTACAGGGTGTGTTCTTATATGCCTTGTGAGCTCACTTTTATGAGAAAAATCCTTATTTTTTAGGAACATGCTCTCCTGTAGTAACATCCCATTTATAAGAAAATGTTATATTACAATCATGACATTCATAAGGTTTTCCCTAATGTGTGTCCTCACATGACAGGTAAGATGACCTTTTTTCAGAAAAACCTGTACTCACACTAAGAACATTAAAGGGTTTCCCACCTGAATGTTATCTAAGCTAGCTAATAACATCCTTTGATAAGAAAAATCTCATATTATAATTGAGACATTTTTATGTTATTTTTTCTAGTACATGTATGTGTCCTAATACTATGATTACGATCACCTAGTTGAGAAAAATCTTATCACAATGGGAACATTAATGAGGCTTTTCTCCACTGTGTGTTCTTAAATGACGTGTAAGGGTACTACTTTGAGATAAACCTTTATCACAAACTTACAATTTATAGGGTGTGTTCTTATATGCCTTGTGAGCTCACTTTTATGAGAAAATTCCTTATTTTTTAGGAACATGCTCTCCTGTAGCAACATCCCATTTATAAGAAAATGTTATATTACAATCATGACATTCATAAGGTTTTCCCTAGTGTGTGTCCTCACGTACATGACAGGTAAGATGACCTTTTTCAGAAAAACCTGTACACACACTAAGAAAATTAAAGGGTTTCCCACCTGAATGTTATCTAAGCTAGCTAATAACATCCCTTTGATAAGAAAAATCTCATATTATAATCAAGACATTTTTATGTTATTTTTTCTAGTACATGTACATTGTGTATGTGTCCTAATACTATGATTACGATCACCTAGTTGAGAAAAATCTTATCACAATGGGAACATCAATGAGGCATATCTCCACTGTGTGTTCTTAAATGGCGTATAAGGGTACTACTTTGAGAAAAACCTTTATCACAATGGGAACATTTGAAAGGTTTTTCACAATGGGAACATTGTAGAGGCTTTTCAGTCAGGCTGTGTGATCTTAAATGTCCACTGAGAGAAGTTTTATGGGGAAAACCCTCATTACACTGGGAACACTTAAATGGTTTCTCTCCTGTTTGTATTTTAAGGTGATGTGTAAGATTATTCTTTTCGGAAAATCCTTTATCACAATATGAACATTGGTAAGGTTTTTCTCCACGGTGTGTTCTTAAATGTTTAATAAGGGTACCTCTTTGAGAAAAACCTTTATCACAATCTTAACATTTATAGGGTGTGTTCTTATATGCCTTGTGAGCTCACTTTTACGAGAAAATTCCTTATTTTTTAGGAACACTCTCTCCTGTAGTAAAATCCCTTTTATAAGAAAATGTTATACTACAATCATGACATTCATAAGGTTTTCCCTAGTGTGTGTCCTCACATGACAGGTAAGATGACCTTTTTTCAGAAAAATCTGTACACACACTAAGAACATTAAAGGGTTTCCTACCTGAATGTTATCTAAGCTAGCTAATAACATCCCTGTGATAAGAAAATCTCATAATATAATCGAGACATTTTTATGTTATTTTTTTCTAGTACATGTACATTGTGTATGTGTCCTAATACTATGATTACGATCACCTAGTTCAGAAAAAATCTTATCACAATGAGAACATCAATGAGGCTTTTGTCCACTGTGTGTTCTTAAATGGCGTATAAGGGTACTACTTTGAAAAAAAACCTTTATCACAATGGAAACATTTGAAAGGTTTTTCTCCACTGTGTGTTCTTAAATGTCTATAGTAAAGTGACTTCTTTGAAAAAACCCTTATCACACTGGGAACACTTAACTGGTTTCTCTCCTGTATGTGTTCTAAGGTGGCTAGTCAGCTCATTCTTTTGAGAAAATGTCTTATCACAATGGGAACATTGTAGAGGCTTTTCAGTCAGGCTGTGTGATCTTAAATGTCTACTAAGGGAAGTTTTATGGGAAAAACCCTCATCACACTGGGAACACTTAAATGGTTTCTCTCCTGTGTGTGTTCTAAGGTGACGTGTAAGATTATTTTTTCAGAAAATCCTTTATCACAATATGAACATTGATGAGGTTTTTCTCCACTGTGTGTTCTTAAATGTTTAACAAGGGTACCTCTTTGAGCAAAACCTGTATCACACTGAGAACACTTAAATGGTTTCTCTCCTGTATGTGTTCTAAGGTGACATGTAAAATTATTCTTTTCAGAAAATCCTTTATCACAATGGGGACATTGATACGGCTCTTTTTCTCCACTGTGTGTTCTTAAATGGGTGGTAAGATAACTTGGGCGAGTAAAAACCTTATCACACTGGGAACACTTAAAGGGTTTCTCTCCTGTATGTGTTCTAAGGTGTCTAATAAGGGTACTTCTTTCAGAAAAACCCTTTTCACAATGGGAACAGTGAAAAGGCTTTTCTCCTGTATGCGTCCTTAGATGCTTTCCTAGATTACTTTGGCAAGTAAAATCCTTATCACACTGGGAACACTTAAATGGTTTCTCTCGTGTATGTGTTCTAAGGTGGCTAGTAAGCTCATTCTTTTGATAAAACATCTTATCACAATGGGAACCTCGTTGAGGCTTTCCCTTAAGGTTGTGTGTTCTTATATGTCTAATAAGGTTACTTTTATAGGGAAAACCCTCATCACACTGGGAACATTTAAAGGGTTTCTCTCCTGTATGTATTCTAAGGTGGGTAGAAAGACTAGTCTTGTAAGAAAATTTCTTAATACAATGGAAACATTGATGAGGCTTTTCTCTACTGTGTGTTCTGAAATGTCTACGAAGGGTACATTTATGGGAAAATGCCTTATCACACTGGGAACACTTGAAAGGTTTCTCTCCACTGTGTGTTCTTAAATGGCTATTAAGGGTTCCTCTTCGAGGAAAAGCTGTATCACACTGGGAACACTTAAATGGTTTCTCCCCTGTATGTGTTCTAAGATGACGAGTAAGACTAGTCTTGTAAGAAAATGTCCTATTACAATTGGAGCATTGATGAGGCTTTTCTCCACTGTGTGTTCTAAAATGTCTACGAAGGGTACTTTTATGGGAAAATCCCTTATCACACTGGGAACAATTGAAAGGTTTCTCTCCACTGTGTGTTCTTAAATGGCTATTAAGGGTTCTTCTATGAGAAAAACCCTTATCCTTATCACACTGGGAATACTTGAAGGCTTTCTCTCCAGTATGTGTTCCAAGGTGGCTAGTAAGCTCATAGTCGACCTGGTGTGTTTTCCGATGTAGTATAAGAGTGTTCTCATCTGTAAATGTCTTACTGCAATGTAAACACAGATGGGTCTCCTCTCCACTGCATGCTGTTATATGTGGGTGTATATTGTCTTGTCCATTGTCCAACTCTAGGGAGGAAAAGAAAGTAATTACATCCCTATTGAAGAGAAGGTCGAGCTCTGGTAAGTGCCAGAATTAAAATGAAAATCACTGAAGAGTAAAGATATATCACCAGGCGTATCCAGTCTGCCTAGATGCAGAGTATCATGTAATGCTTAAAACCTTCAATACAGTCAACTTCGCATACATCAATTTTGACAGGATGAATTGAAATTTTCGATATGTGTGTAAATCAAAGAAAATTTGACTTTCGCCCAAGTTGACTTTGATGGGACCAAGCAAAATGCATCTAAGTAGATGATTTTTGCTTTCTATGTATTAAATCAAAATGAATTAAACCATATCTGGTCCCAAACAGAACTCAGGAACTTGCCGCAGTTTTCTTGATTTTATAGTTTTTATCCAAACTCGGTTTAAACTGTTGTGCAGACATCCAGAAAATAAGAAAGATACCAGTATTTTTTTCATGTACACGGTATATGACTGCAGACTCATGTTAAAACTTGGACAATAGAATTACTTTCTACAAGAATATATTGCCAATAAGGAGGAAGAGAACTGCAAAATCTGTTTAATATAATGAATGAATGGGTACTGAATACGGAATCGTAACACTTATGAATCAATGATATTGAATTAAGCTACCATTATTGTGCAAACTGTTGATAGATATAGTAGGATCTTCGAAACAATCTACTACGGTCCCATACTTGATGTAACGGTCAGTGAACTGCGTACATGCATTGATAATAATACCGGTGTGATAATCGTGATTGCAGTGACGTAGTAATTAGTGTCGACCCTAGCGCTAGTCCAGCTACTACAATGCCTCCCAAACAGACAGCAATAGCATAAGCTATCAATTAGGAGCTCCTAGACAGTGAGGACTCCAAGGAGGCACTCTCGAACAATGGTAGTAGCAAATTAGATGAAATCTCAAATAAGTTTGATGACATTTACCGAAACTTGATCATCATGATCAACGCTTCATATCTATTGAAAGTCTCAGAAAGTCAGATATTAAAATAACTTATGTTTATGATGAACTCGCAACAAATTTCAGTACTGTAACGAACCAGTTCGCCACAATTTAAGTTATCTTGCAGAAAACGTAGGGGGCGCAGTAAGCTTTAGGGGCATAAGGGCTCAGAGCGCGATTACAGACGCACCATGCATAAAGCAGCTCTCAGAGCGTCTCAGAGGCTATAAATACCAGTATTTTACGGTAATTTTGTCACTTCGACGCTGGCTCTCGTCTTGGTCAGATAGCGAACTCTCCGCTTTTCTCCAGCTGAGCTAAAGTAAGGAAAAGGACTGGAAGCGAGAAATAGAGTTCCTACAAAAGGCAATCCCTGCCTTTACTACTTGTTGAGATTAATACAGGTAATTGGTGTCGGTGTTAACTATGATAACATGTTGGAGAAGTTGACTTATGTTTGTATTAATAAAGTATACAGTTAAACAATCCATCGTTTCATAACGTGTAATTAGTTGAGTCTCCATAGACTGATGTAATATAATCCTCTCATAGAGAATACACGTCCAGCTATCCAAAACACCTCTCATCTCCACACTCATATACTTTGGGAAAACGGAGCCACGTCAGGGCCTCTAAACTACAAGCCAAATAGAAACCGCTCTCATTATTCGGATGGCAAATTCTTCGTCAGATGACGGTGATAGAGGCAAGGGACAGGCCAGCCCTCCAGCATCCAGGACCCGTTAGGTGATACGTAATTCATGCTCATGTGTAACATAATATCGAACGCATTTTCACGATTTCATCTTTCGTTATAAAATACTACTCCCATTGTGGTCTATATCCATGAGTCAAGTTTCAACTGTGTAAGGCAGAGGGAGACGGAGCAATAGAATAAGAGGGAGGCAAGGCAAGAGAGAGAGAAAGAGGGTGAAAGAGTAGAGAGAGAGAGAGATTGATAGATGCAGAGACAGACCAAAAAAGGGAGAGGGGCAGAACATGAAACCAATTAGTAACACATCAATCCATTGCATATTAAGAAACTGAAACATCTTTAAATTGTTTCCCACCTCATTCCATATTCTGGACCCTTCAGAACATTCAAAGAAGATAAGACGATAGGTTTCTACCTCTTTTCTACAAAAGGAACATACATTTGACTGTGTTAACCCAAAAAGATACAGTTTATCATTACAAAATATGATGTTATGTAAGATTTTAAACTGAAATTCCCTGGTGACCATGATTAAGAGTGGTATAGCGCCCCCTTCAGGTATTTGATAGAGATTTGTAGAATCAGGATTTCAGAAAAAGTCGCCAAACACGCAAACTAAGAAAATTCTGACACGTCGCCTTTAATTGAAATTGTCACTATGATGATGTCATCAAAATGATAAATGATGTACATCATTCTGATAGATAATTTTCTTAGCTACACCATATCAAAATTTGGGAGAACATAGAGCACAAAAAAGCTAGATAGTGCTCAAAGATCAATGTCATGTAGATTCATGATGTGAACGAATTTCACCTTCCATAGACGTAACACGCAAATTGAGAAAATTCTGACATGTGGCCTTTAATTGAATTTTATACTATGATGACGTTAACAAAATAAAAAGCAGTGTGTATTGATCTTGTAGGCAATTGCCTAAGCTACAAGATACTGCAATTGTGAAGAAAATCAGTCAACAATATGAGAAATACACTAAATTTTCCATAAATATAATGACGTCATAATATGCAATTTTGTATTTTGACTTTCAAGGCCATTATGATGACGTCAAGATGTATTTAATGGCCAAATGAGCTATGAAATCATATCTCCGACTCATACTCTATCAAAATTTGAAAAAAGCTTGGCAGTCCTTGTTCATCCCAATGGACTTTTTATAGGCATGTTTTTGCCTATATATACTATGTAATGCATGAGCTCGCGCGCTCGGATGTTTATCTTGAACGGACGCTCATTCCGTTATTAATAGTGATAAAGAGATGAACATGATATCAAAATGCTTGGAAAAATGTGCCAAACCTGATGACAGAGAAAATTTGGCGATTATATGTTGAAAAATGCCAAAACGCGCAAAAAACGCGCACGCATGCGCCTTTGAGTGATTTTTTGTCAAATATGCTTCATATGGCTTGAAACGTATGCAAACAAAATTGGGAATGATTTGGAGCATTTTTAATTTTTGCGCGCAAGAACGCGTACGCGCGGATTTGTGTACGTTCTTTTTATCTTAAATTGACCGGAAGGATATTGATCTTAATCATGATAAATATGAATGAAAAATTACTTTCCGTTATGAAGATATGATCATCAGTTGATTTTCACAAAATGGCGCCTGGATGACGATAATTTTGAGTCTTTGAAAAATCATGCAGTTCTAAGTTAGACTAAGATCTATCATCATTGAAAGTTTCATGACAATGGCTTTTGCAATTCTTGAGGTATCCTGTGAACAAAATTGAGGAAGAATAATAATAATTTCTTCTATACAGACACAAAATAAATACTAGACTCTAATTCGTCACTTTGACGAATTAGGTGATACGTATGCTCATGTGTATCATAATGAAGAACGCATTTTCACGATTTCATCTTTAGTTTACTACTCCCATTATGGTCTATCCATGAGTCAAGTTTCAACTGTAGGGCAGAGGGAGACAGACCAAGATAATAAGAGGAAGGCAAGGCAAGAGAGAGAGAGAGGGAGAGGGTGAAAGAGAAGAGAGATAGATAGATGCAGAGACAGACCAAAAAAGGAGAGGGGCAGAACATGAGAAAAGAAGGAAAAAGAGCAAAAGAGAGAAGAGAGAGAGAGATGCAATTGAGAACAATGCCTTCCAGATGACCATGATTAAAAGTGGTATAGCGCCCCCTTCAGGTATTCGATTGAGGATTGTTATATATGATAATTGACATGTCACCTATGGTTGAATTTTTGACTATGATAACGTCATGATAATGTTAGTCTACATAAATATTGTGGAAACTTGTCTCAGTTACAACATACTCAAAAATCAACAAAATCCAAGCAGAAATACCAGCGATATTGCTCAAAACACAGGAATGTAGAATCCAGACTTGAGAAAAAGTCATCTCCCATAGGGATTAAACTCAAAAAGTAATGGATTTAGTGAAAATAGGGTAATAATAAAGTAAATAGAGTTGTTCATTACATTATTTGCGACTCTACGTGTTTTATTAATCAAAGGAGATATGGTACAGTGAAAGGTAACAAAAAAAAAGTGAAGAAAAATATTGTTGGAGACACCCGGACTCGAACCATGGATCTCGAGGATGGAAGTCAAGTGCGTTACAGATATACCCAAACATTTCCCATAGCGATTACACGTAAACGGGAAATGGAATTCTGAAATCCTACTTTTCAAGTGAAATATGAGCATAATCCCGGCATCTGATCGAAAAATAAAAGGCACATTGGTGATAGCTTACCGTCTCAGCTACAACATATTCGAAGCTCAGCGAAAACGAAGCTAAAACAACGGAGATTTTGCTCGCGAAAGACAGGAGTGTCGAATCCAGTTTTGAGAAAAAGTCATGTCCCATAGAAAATACACGAAAAATGTGAAAAATTGACATGCCTCCTTTAATCGAAAAAAAAAGCCATGATGCCTTTGTCAAAATGAAAAATTGTGAACACTAAATTTGTAGAGAATTGTCTCAACTAAAACATTTCAAAATTTGAAAGAAAATCAATCAATATTTACAGAGATACAATCAATTTTCCAAAAATCTGCTGACATCATAATATGCAAATTGAAATTTTGAGTTCGGAGGCCATTATGATGATTTCATGAGTTAATTGAGGGTCAATTGAGACATGAAATCATATTTCCGACTCATAATCTTTCTAAATATGAAAAAATATTGGGAGTTCTTATCTATTCTGAAGAGTTACAACAAACTTTGTATAGGCATGTTTTTGCTCTTGTATTGTGGATAAAGATAGCGCAGGTCCGCGTGCGCTGTCAACTTTGACGGACGTTCATTGCGTTA